AATGGTGGTAGGTTTGGTCGGGCCAGGGGCCGAGGTGGTACCAGGGGAGGCAGTCGTGGGCTTCTTCGTGGTGATGTTAGGAATGGTGGTAGGTTTGGTCGGGCCAGGGGCCGAGGTGGTACCAGGGGAGGCAGTCGTGGGCTTCTTCGTGGTGATGTTAGGAATGGTGGTAGGTTTGGTCGGGCCAGGGGCCGAGGTGGTACCAGGGGTCGAGGTGGGGGAGTTCTTGAGGTACGGCTCAATGAAGTCGCGAGACATGGAGATTCGGCTGTACACGCCTGGCTTGTTTTTCTCTGCACACTTAAGCCCCCAGCTGACCACCCCCACCAATTTTTCAGAACCGCCGATTTCCACCGTCAAGGGTCCACCAGAGTCACCTTGGCACGCATCTTCTCCCTCCTTGCCGCCGCAGCACAACATGTTGGTCTCGACGCGGTTAGACATCCACTTATTGCACTGTTCTTGGTTGATCGTATCCATCCCGACTTCCTTCAAGACCTTGGACGTAGACCCGCCCGTAGACGTGGTGCCCCAGCCACGCACAACCGTGGTGGTGTCGGCTGCCACAGTGTCGAAGGACACTTCCACGGCTGGGAACTTGGAGTCGAGCTCCAAAATCAACACGCCAATGTCGTACGAGTAGGTCGTTTCATTGTACTTGGGGTGTTTGATCGTTTGTTTGACCTTGATCTGCTCACCGTCCATGGTGCCGCTGTTGTAGTGTGATCCAATCGTCACATAGTTGACACGTACTTTCATGCAGTGGGCGGCCGTCAAGACGACGTTGGGGGCGATCAAACTGCCTCCGCAGGTGGTAATTCCAGAGGCGGAGGAGCGAAGTCCTGTCACGTACAAGTGCTTGCCAACGGCGGCTTCCTTGCCTCCGACGATTCTGAGTTGGGCAGTGACGGAGGTGACGAGCACTGAAAATGCAAATGCGACTTTCATGGTGAAGGAAGGAAGATTGAATGACACTCGGGAGCATTGGGTTGCGTTCGATCCACGTTTTGACATGACGATGCAGATGCTGGGATGGATAGAAAAGTCTGTAAAAAAAATTGTCTACGTTTGTCAGTCTGGATATTTTAAGAACATGATGAACTGTCATTCCGGGGGTACATTGGACGTACGATGGTGGCAAGACTACACTGGTATGTGTCGTCCACGTCTTCAATACACTTTTCCCGGTCCACCATTTATGTGTTTGTGTACAGAGCATGCTAGCGAATTAGTGAACAACGTGAATTGCTGTCCGCGTATGGTGCACGAAAGCTAGAAACGACGAACAGGCCAAATCGTTTGCCCTACGTTTTTCTATTTAACCTATATATTTTGGGATAAAACCTACTTGAGATGAGAGTTAAACAGTAAGCTGCCAGGTTAAACCTTGGATAATGATAGGTTAAACTCAATCTACGTACGGATAAAGTGTACGGATAACTGGCCCATACAAACGTCAAGACGTATGGGTGGCCAAAATACGTCCGAGCCCATACATTTCTGTTGTAGCAAGGCGATGGGTTAAACTAAAATAGCTCTCTCATTTTTTCGTCAATTGCGAATTGGAACCACATGATCGATTCGCTTTGTCTAAATCTATCGTTTTTGTGGTTAATTTGCCAGGAAAAAATAATACTGCACATGGTATAATGCTCTAAATAGTGCTCAAAATATCGTCGTTTCTAGGCTTCTTGCACCATACCACCTTAGGTCTAGGTAGGACTTTTTCTTCTCGGGTATTCACATACCTAAAGGATGGAATGAACCAAGTGTGATGTTCTTGAAAATATTTCCGGGCTTGTCTCTACGTGAACTTCATGTACGGAATGTAGAGGAAGCCTATTCGACATAAACTTCGACAATAGTGACTATAATCCTCGCTCAGCCCGTCCGATACAGAGAACCGTTACTTTAATCAAGTCAAGCCAAAATATCCATCCTCACGCCAAGGGGGTCAACTGGGCCCTAATTGAGTACACTTGACTCATTATGCCGGGCGTGCACTTGCTGGAGTACTACCATATGGTCTTGGGTCGTGGATGCGGATAATACTGATAGATACCAGTATATATGGCGAGTGCTCCATACGTCGAACGTTGTTAGGATGATACAAACGTGCAGTAAACATGGTAGATACTTATTGTCTCATTGCACCATATCAAAGCTCCTGCTTCATACTAGGACTACTTATTTATTCCAACCAATATCTTCAGCGCAGTTCCCCCACAAGGCCCTTTCGCTTTTGAGTATGAAATTTGTTTTGTCCATTTAATTATATCTGACGTTGTCTGTTAGTTTTGTGTGAATAATGCTGGCGCCAAGGTTTCTTTTTATGTGCACTTCGTGGGTTAAAAAAACATGCGTTGTCCGGACAAATATAGATGCGATAGACACTTGCGAGGGTTTTGGTAGTCATTCAGTGTACCACCACCGACTATAAGTCTGATTAGTCACAATTTCGTGGATATGAACCAATTCAATATTCCTTTCTCGATATCTGTCCTCGAAGTGATCACCACTTCTGATGTGATTGTACAGACTAATCCCTTACCCTTTCATTTATTTTGTTCTTTGATACCACTGTCAAATGCAGTTTAACAGTAAACACCAAAGTAGAGCTAGAGGTGAAGTGCTAAGCGATGGTTAATCACTAGTGAAGCACCTTGTTAACCACGGGAATAGCATTGTATGTTAACACAAGGGTCCTGGTTCCAAGGTTACAGGGCTACTGGTTCTTTTGAAGGGAGATGACTAGCTAAGCCACAGTGGAGCTGTGGTTCCCAGGGGCAAACTCGATTTGGCAAGCTAAAAGACGGTTCTCAAATAGACTATTCTGATGATGTAGCTACGATGCAGGAGGAGGATGACACACGAAATTATGCATGCTACGGCCCACATGGAAAGATCGACGCGCACACGTCATCGTCCACACCGACGGCAGTGGCTCCTCGACCAAGAATTTTGAACCAATCGAGTTTGAGTATGAATTTTTTTTTGTCCAATTATATCAATGATTCGATTTAGTTTTGTGTGAATAATGCTGTCGCCAAGGTTTCTTTTTCTGTGCACTTCGTGGGTTAAAAAAACATGCGTTGTCCGGACAAATATAGATGCGATAGACACTTGCGAGGGTTTTGGTAGTCATTCAGTGTACGTTGACCTTTCCAAACCAACGGTGACCAGTATGACCCCCACATTAGTTCAAAATGGATTTCGTACCTGTGGTGTGTGGCCGATATTTTTGCCTCGCATGTTCTCTCGCCTGCGATATCGTTTCCTCGCAAGTTCTTAGGACGCCGTTGGCACGGAGTCGTGGATCAACACAAGGGAAGGGGTACGCGAAGACGTTCTGTTCTTACCTGCGAAGTCGGTTGTGCGCAAACGTGTCAAGACGAACGTCGAGTGTAGCATTCCACGAGCACCTTCATGTGGTCGCAGCGAAACGGCAAAAGCGGAAGTGAATTTTTTTACTTGTTTTTAAATTTGATCCAAATTTAGTTAATGAAGCTTTTAATCCAGTTAAATGACAGTATTATATGAACCGAATTTTAATTCGTATTATAAATCAATGTATACAAATCACCTGATGTTTGAAACCGTTCGGGGAATATATGCACGTTAAAACTCATCATGCTTATGTTTCGTCATATTAATTAGACTACAAATATCAAATCATGCCAAATCGCAGTTGCTTCGTACTACGTAGTATGTAAAATATAGTACTTGAATTATATTTTCTTTCTATGCTAAAAGCTCAATATACAGTAATCAAATGGCAATCGCAAGCAATCAGACTTTAAAAAATCGACAAAATCTTCTTCAAAAACCGTTCGGATGATTGATGCGTTACTTTACTATGGGACGGTATTAATTTCAGTTATTCGTATTCACCTTGAACCCCTCTATCAAAGCATACCTCTAATTTTCGAAATTTCGATAATCTTGACATATTAAATTATTCTGAATGTTGCAACTACTTCCGGACATAGGTAGAAGGTAATATTGCGCTTTCCGGTTAAACTCGCCAATTGTAAGTAAGCATTGTGAAAATCGCCAACAAATAGCCGCGATGATTTCATTGGTTAGAATTTCGAAGATTTGGGCAGAAAATGGACATCCAACTCAGTTTTACACAACTGCCAGTACGACGAGGTGTAGTTGCAGGTTGCGTTAGCGCGAGCGTCCAGTTGGTGTACAGTACTTGAGATATTAGTGTGTACTGTACATATGTGTGCATGTGTGCTGGGGATACGAAGAAACTCGCTACGAGAACGAGAGGGCTAAGCGCTCAGGTACAAGATTGGATCGTCCATTGACTCAGCTCAGGAAACTGCGTCATAATAGGGTGATTAGCAACGATTGTTTTGTGAGAGAAATCCCACTTATTGTCATTGGGGTCATTTCGCGGACATTCGGATCGGGGCGATTTACGAACCGCCCATGGAAATTTTGAGTAGAACACAAAATAAGATATTCTTCGAAGTAACACACTATACTACTGTAGTATGAAGCAGGAGCTTTGATGTTCTCCAATGAGGCAATAAGTATCTACCATTTTTACTGTACGTCTGCATCATCCCAACGACGTTCCACGTATGGAGCACTCCATCTATACTGGTACGTATCTATCAGAAATATCCGCACCCACGAAGCAAAACCATATGGTTGCACTCCAGAAAGTGCACGCCGGCACGATCAGTCAAGTACTCAATCAGGGCCAAGTTGACTGTATGGATGTCCAAAATATGCCCTCGCTTTCCCGTGGCGTGAGGATGGATATTTTGACTTGATTAAAGTAACGGCATGCTGTGTCCGGATGGTCTGAGTGAGGATTATCTCACTATTGTCGACAAAGACTTAAACTACACCCACATGATTTTTTTAAGTACCTCTACATTCCGTACATGAAGTTCACGTAGAGACAGGCCCGGAAATATTTTCAAGAAAATCACACTTGGTTCATTCCATCCTTTAGGTATGTGAATACCCGAGAAGAAAAAGTCCTACCTAGACCTAAGGTCGTACGCGGACAGCAATTCACGTTGTTCACTAATTCGCTAGCATGCTCTGTACACAAACATATAAATGGTGGACCGGGCAAAGTGTATTGAAGACGTAGACGACACATAACAGTGTAGTGTAATGTAAAGCAAACAACTTGCCACCATCGTACATCCAACGTACCTCCGGAAAGACAGCTCACTATGTTCTTGAAATATCCAGACTGACAAACGTAGACAATTTTTTTTACAGACTTCTCTATCCATCCCAGCATCTGCGTCATCTTATTCCATGGCATTCATGTCAAAACGTGGATCGAACGCAACCCAATGCTCCCGAGCGTCATTCATCAATCTTCTTTCACCATGAAAGTCGCATTTGCATTTTCAGTGCTCGTCACCTCCGTCACTGCCCAACTCAGAATCGTCGGAGGCAAGGAAGCCGCCGTTGGCAAGCACTTGTACGTAACAGGACTTCGCTCCTCCGCCTCTGGAATTACCACCTGCGGAGGCAGTTTGATCGCCCCCAACGTCGTCTTGACCGCCGCCCATTGCACGAAAGGACCTGTCAACTATGTGGCGATTGGATCACACTACAACAGCGGCACCATGGACGGTGAGCAGATCAAGGTCAAACAAGCGATCAAGCATCCCAAGTACAACGGTGTGACCTACTCGAACGACTTTGCAGCGTTGATTTTAGAGCGCGACTCCAAGTTTCCGGCCGTGGAAGTGTCCTTTGACACTGTGGCAGCCGGTACCCCCACGGTTGTGCGTGGCTGGGGCACCACGTCTACGGGCGGGTCTATGTCCAAGGTCTTGAAGGAAGTCGGGGTGGATATGGTCAACCAAGAACAGTGCAATAAGTGGATGTCTAACCGCGTCGAGACCAACATGTTGTGCTGCGGCGGCAAGGAGGGAGAAGATTCGTGCCAAGGTGACTCTGGCGGACCCTTGACGGTGAAAATCGGCGGTTCTGAAAAATTAGTGGGGGTGGTCAGCTGGGGGCTTAAGTGTGCAGAGAAAAACAAGCCAGGCGTGTACAGCCGCATCTCCATGGCTCGCGACTTCATTGAGCCGTACCTCAAGAACTCCCCCACCTCGGCTCCTGGTCCAACCAAACCTACCACCATGCCTAGCGTGACCACGAAGAAGCCCACGACTGCCTACCCTGGTACCACCTTGGCCCCTTACCCGACCAGACCTACCACCATGCCCAACGCGACCACGAAGAAGCCCACGACTGCCTACCCCAAGCCTAGTTGTGCCAAACCTACCACCATGCCTAACATCACCACGAAGAAGCCCACGACTGCCTCCCCTTATACCACCTCGGCCCCTTGCCCGACCAAACCTACCACCATGCCTAACATGACCACGATGAGGCCCACGACTGCCTACCCCAAGCCTGGTTGTGCGACGTGCGGCGTTTGCTACTATGCTGGCGCCGACCACTGCTTGAATGACTTCTCTAAGGACGACTGCGAATACTACATTGCTGAATATGGAACTTTGTGGTGTGGCAACTAGAGAGTTGTGGTGTTAATGTTGCGGAAAGACAATATATGTTGTGTTTGAATGTAATATATACTACCGATCTCATAGATTTTGGCAGCTTGTCGACATATCCAGCTTCAGTGTACCCCAGCTGTCCCCATTAACAGTAAACTAGGTGTACTTGTATTTGTTCCTATAAGCATGTAGAATATGAACCATTCGCTTGTATTTTTTTTGTATGGAGCGAGTGCAGATTTCTGCATGTTTTGGTCAATACTGTCGGCGTAACGGTTAATTATCCGGAAATATAAACGCGCACCTACGAGAGTGCAGGCAATGCCGGCACAGTTTACCACTGCCTATTTGTCTATAGTCTCGGGCTCTCGTGCAAACATGTACTTCGAAGTACTACTATCATGTTTCATGAAACACGTTACTCAAGTCTACCGGTGCATAAGCTCACAGTTAAGCAAGTCCGAGGATAACACAGTCGCGATGAATAGACGGGAGGCAACATCAATCAAGTACAAGTACGGTTGCATTCGGGGCGCATGTGCGGACGTGATTGCTCTCGATGGGAGTGCGCTGTGGCGTAGTTTCTTTGAACCTACCGATATCGGTGATGATGGCTTCGGCGTTCGCTTCGATGACCAAGTTTCGAATTGCACCTTCTCGTGCTCAACAGAACCTCTGTATACTGTATGTTCCGGTTATAAGGCTTCGTGCACAACGAGCGTCGGGCAAATTCCGCTTCCATCGAGAAATTAAGAACCCCTAAATACAAATATCTAGATATTTAAATTTGATGTGATATAAATCGAATTTGCACGACGCACGTCAAGCTGTAAGCTAAGCATTTCTATTGGCTATAATGTGCAAAGCCACAAAGGTGATCAAACTCCATCCAGCCACTACAATTTGGAGGAAGAAATGCCATGCGACTGATGGAACTTGTTTCAGTGACGTGATGTGGTGAAGGTACAGTATATATACCGGTATGTATGTCGTTGAAACGACAGGTCGGTATGGATTTAGTGTTAGTGGTGTGATCTGTAAATACCCTGGGTTTACAGTCCTGTTAGTTTGGCAGAGAGTAAGCTTACATATACTCGAACATCCACAGCGCAGTTTTACGCTAGTAATCTGTCCACCTTGCATTTGACATTGTGAAACCAAACTACTGTATACAAACAACGTCACGGTCGGCTTGCTACGAATTGAGATTTGAATAGACGCACTGACCAGACCTTAATTTCAGTATGGCGAAATCACAAGCTTTTTGGTGTGTTCGTGGTCACAGCGGTTGTATATCGAGCTCGCACCTCGTCAGCACGAAACCCGCGTCGTTTAACGTGTACGAATAATGCAAAAATCACGTTGTTTATCGTGTCAAATCACGGATTTGGCACAATATCTTGAATAGATTCACCATGAGTACGGAAACGATAGAAGGAATAGGGCAATTCAAACTTTTGGGGCATTTAGTCAATAGGGATAAACGATGATTGGGACGAAGGTTGACCATGCAGCCACCATGATGACCGTATACACAGCGAGTTCGTCGATTTATCACCACTACCAGTCTGAATTAAAGTTTGTGCCTCCGATTTGAATCTAGTTTTCATCAAACTGGTGGTGATACCGGTAGAATTGTAGGACAAACTCAACCTTCAATGCTGTACTGCAAACTCATAAATGATAAAAGCACTTCGAAGTAAAAGTTGAGTCATCGGCGGTATTTGAACCCGCAACATCCAGAATGAAAGCACCAAACTTTACCGTTAGGCTGTGCTAACACGTTATTTTCACACTGTGGTCATCATAATATATAGCTTCATAATATCCCATGATACCCAGATTTGGAAAGGTCGCCCAAACATGGCAGCCAACATTGCCAACTTCCAACGAGGCAGCAACGTCCAAGACATGCTCTGAGTGTTGCTGCGTGATACAGTAGCACACACAGCTTGGCGCGGACGTTGCTGTCTCTTGGCTGTGTCGAAGGAATGAATACATGCTAGGGTCTCTGGCGATTCACCAGCGTGCTGTAGGAGGCTGATCACTTGCAGAGTGTGAGCATCCAAGCCGTTAAGGCTAGTGGTGGTT